ACATATGAAAAAATGCTCAACATCACTAATCAGCAGAGAGAGGCAAATTATTTCAAACTGTTTTGGGGCAACATTAGTCCCAAATTAGAGGCTAGGTAAGGGTTATCTCCCAGATCCCAGACTGCCAGAATGGCTGCCATCAACAAATCAACAAAAAAACAAGTGCTGGCGAGGGTGTGGAGAAAAGGGAGCCCTAGTACACTGTTGGTAGGAATGCAGGCTGGTGTAGCCACTGTGGAAAACAGTATGGGGTTTTCTCCAAACATTAGAAATGGAACTGCCATTTGATCCAGTGATCCCACTTCTGGGACTACATCCTGAGTATTCAAAAATATTAATACAAAAGGATATATGCACCTTGTGTTCACAGCAGCATTATTTACAAGAGCCAAGATCTGGAAACAGCCGAAGAGCCCATCAGATGACAGATAACAAAGCTCTGGGACATTTATACAATGGAATACTATGTGGCCATTAAAAAGAAAGAAATCTTACCTTTTGAGATAGCATGGAGGGACCTGGGGATTATTATGCTAAATCAAATAAGCCAGTCAGAGAAAGACAAATACCATATGATCTCATCTAATGAAAATAAACTGACGAACAAAATACAAACAGAAGCATGGATACATGACACAGTCTCACCACTGTCAGAGAGGTTCGGGGAGAAAGGTACTGGACGAAAGAAGGTGAAGGGATTAGCCAAAGAACATCTGTGTATAACCCGTGGACACAGACAACAGTGTGGCGGTGGCCAGAAGGAAGGGGGACAGGGCAGGGTGGTGAAGGGCAAATGGGGGCGAACGGGGACATCTGTAATAGTGTCAACAATAAAAATAAAGAAAAATAAAATAAAAATTGCACACTAAAGAATCTGAGCCAGCCCAGTCCTATACTCTCAATGTACAACTGCGAAAATTAGTTTCACTATTTGCATTTTATTATAAATGTGATACTTGCACTTGCAGAAATTTTGCAAGGCATAAAAAGTGCAGAGCACAAAGAAATCACCCCAAGTCTTTCCTCCTAGAAGCACCCACTGCTAAGTCACAGTCTTTCCTCCTTTTTTTTTTCCTTTGCATTTTTAACACGGTTGGAGTTATACCATAGATCCAACTTTATGTCTTGTTTTTAAAACTTTATAGATTTAGACAAGCTGGTTGTGAAAAATACTGGAGTGGTGGTTTCAGGACTCCTTGGGCCCCGACCATGGCCCCTGGCAGCTCAAGCAGCTAATGGTGAGGCAGAGCATCTGGCAGGTGAGAAGGGGATGCCTGGGACGCCCTGGGAGGAAACCTGGGCCGGGGAGGAGCCTGTTCTGCCCGCGCTCGGGGACCGCGAGCGGGTCAAAGGTGCGGCA